TACCTTATAAAAATGAAACCTACATCTGAGTTGTGAAGAATATGTATTAAGGTTATGACAACTAAAAAGAATGCACTTTTTTGTAGAAATCCATGATTAAATTGAGTCTTCCTGACTAGTGATTTAAATTAAATACACCCTGCTCCACAGCTCACTTTTCCATACTTGTCCTCAAGGGAACAAGTATTGAACACCTATTGAACAAGTATTGCCCAACACCTTCAAAAGGCAAGTCTGTGAATTTAACTTTGCTAAACACCAAAAGCCCTGGACTTAACAGAGACACTGGTTTTGGGCTCATTACAACAATTTGTAACACACCTGCTTGTTACCCTTAATTGCCCACTTCAAACCTTTTATGCATAATCATCTAACCCCCAATTGCCCATTCCAACTGACTGCCTCCCATGTATTAGCCCTTCTGCTTAAATCTGTCCTAACTTGTATTTAGGTCAGACACACTGCTTCCTTCCCCAGACCTGATGGAAAGCTCTGTGAAGGTACAAGCTTTTGAGCTACAATAAACAGAAGTTGGTCCAGTAATAAATATTATCTCACTTACCTTGTCTCTAATATCCTGTGACTAACATAGCTACACCACCAAGATATTTAACAATCTCACAAAAATTATTTGAGAGCACTGACTGCAGAGGTCAAAGTCACCCCCTATGCTAGCACAGAGCTGGGGGGTGGGGGCAGCTTGCATCCCTTGAACCTGAGAGTGCTGGGGGCTGGCTTGACCCTCCCTGCCCCCCCTTCCCACACACACACTAAAGCAACCCCAAGGGGTACCCTAACTTGCATCCCTGATGCGGTAGGTCACTAGATACTATGGCACTGCAGAATAGTCAGGGCACATCACACCCCAGCTACAGCATCTATCAGTGCCTCTTGAAGAGCACCCTGTGCAGGGGGCAGAAAGTCAGCATAATCTGGTTACATTAGCACCCTTGAATCCCACCACATCACTCACACAGGTGACCAGCATGATTCAACAGCACTGGCCTCTCCCCCTTGAGCTAAAAGTGTACACGTTCACAGGTAGCACTGGTAGTACACTTAGCAAGCATGCTCGGTTGTAGGCGGTGGTGTTTTTTCAATACCCTGTTAGAAGTAGGTCACACCCCCCAAGCTTGAAACTGTATCAACATACATGTGTCTGAAAAGTCCCTTTCCACAAGGAAAAGTGTCTTGTAGTCAGCGTTATACTCCAGGTGAGCAGAAGCCTTTAACTAATACCCCAAGTCTCAATATTAAGGTGAGAAAAACAGCACCCCAATAATCACACCTTTGGTGCAGTGCTGCACACTCCCAAAGTGTCCTGTGCCCGCGTGCACCGAGCAGTGGGTAAAACCCAAGCTAGACTTCAGTGGTTCCACACTCAGCAATGTTGAAGGGTAAATCCTCCTAGGACATTAACAATGACCAAGAAGGGTGGCACCAGGCTCAGTAGTTCATAGAACCACACTCGATAGCAGGAGAGCGTATAGCCAAGACCCACTCAGAGCAGGCTGTGGGGGAATGCTAATGGTCACTTAGTGAAAACCAGACTTGTCAGAAGCCAGCATTTCTGCAATGGGATTTTATTTTAAGCTTAAGTGCTGTGGAGAGGGGGGCTGGGCAGGGGAGAGACAGAAGCTTTCTCCACTTCATATTTATTAAAACACCTTGAAATGGCAGATACAGGCCCTGCAAGAAGTGGGCTGAAAGGTTCTCTAGTTTCACCATGGCCTCTGCTGAAACAGCAGCAACTGCTGACTCTGCTACCCTCCTACAACAGGGGGTGAAGTCACCACCTCCCACCCAACTTTCAGCAGTGGGGAAAGATACATGTCACTCTACAGCAGCAGACCTGTCCTCCCTACCGACACCCCTAGGCAGAGCCAGGTCTAACATGTTAGCTGAAATAGCCACCCATCCTACTCTGTGCTTGTTCTCACAGCCACCTCTCTATACTGCAATTAAATACCCGGAACTGGCCCGTGTCAGCTGACTCAGGCTCATGGGGCTATAAATCGGCAGTGTAGACATCCAGACTAGGGCTAGAAAAAAGATCCTGGGACCCCATAGTGAAGAGGGTGCCAGAGCCCAGGCTCCAGCCCTAGTCCAGAGCTTTACACTGCAGTGTAGAGCCCTGCAGCCCAAACCCAAGTCAGCTGACACAGGCCAGCCACAGGTGTTTAACTGCAGCACAGACATGCCCTAAATGTTTTACTGCCTGTGGTAACTACCTGTTCTGGATAGAGCTAGCCCAGCTAATAAGGCCTACCCCTAAAGCACAGACCTGTTTTAGAATTAAAGCCCTACACATCTGACATGTGGAATATATACCCAACATATCAAGTGCTGGAATACAAAAGGTAACTAATTTGACACCACCACTGATGTCTTACAACAAACCCACAGCCAAGCTGTCACTCTGCTGCATGCCATGGCTATTCAGAACTTCACAGCTGCAGCAAGAATCAAGTTTGGTTCCTATAGCGCCACGAGCACAGAATCCCAACACCAAAGCTAAAAGCTAGCAGTACTGGGCCTATGACACAAGTCACAGTTCCGTCCAGTAGGGCACAACTCTCCCTACTTGCCAGCTCATTACAGTAGCATATGTCCATAATATGAAAAAACACCTGTCTCCCTCCCAAGGAGAGGGATCCCAGCCACAGCTCAGGAATGAGATAGAACAGTTCTCTCCACTACAGTCACATTCCTTCATTGGGGATAGCAGACAACTGTGGAAGAACAGGGTGAAACTGGAGCACATGACATACCTGAGAGCTCACACAGGGCTTCCAACTACTCTGTGACAATATCAGCAGGAGAAGTGGAAAAGGAGATGCTTTTAGAGAGCACAACATATGAAGCAAAATGAAATTTCTACAGGTTTGTGAGGGACCTCCTCAGGTTCCCATAAATCACACCCACACTGAGTCAAACAAAGAGGAAGGCTGGTGATAACCTAGGTTGCTCCTTTACTATGTCACTTCAACACCCTCCCAATAAAAATGGCATGCGCTCCAGTGCCTGGATTTAAATGCTTTCCAGCTGACAGCTGCTTGGCAACTCCCTTCACTGAGCCTCACCTGCCACAGGTGTTTGCAATTTTCCTTCTTCCAGCTACTGCAGAGCAGCCTCACCTCACACAGCCTGTGTTTGTCAAGCAAGAAACAAAGTTGCATTTTTATTTTATTTTTAACAGAGTGTTGCCAGGAAGGAGCAGGCAAATACGGTGCAACATTTCTGGTCAACAAGGATAGAAAATCCTCCCTGTTAAAGGCAAAGCAGATGTATGTCTGCTCACACACACACACACACACACACACACACACACACACAGAAGAGTGGGCCTCTTCCAGCAAGAAATCTTCACAGGAGAAGAAAGGGAGGAGGGAGAGTTTGGGGGAACTGGGCCCGTTCATAACGGAGGCCCTAGTCCTGTAAGTATGATTGAAGACAATGGGATGAATGCTGTGTAAAAAGTTAAGCATGGGTGAGTGTTTGTCGGATTAGGGCCTTAAAGAGGAGGGAGGAGATGTCACTTTAGATTTTATTTAGCTAAGATGTTTGAAAAGAAATACGGCTAGAGTAGGGTTACCATACGTCCGGTTTTTCCCGGACATGTCCGGCTTTTCGGCAATCAAACCCCCGTCCGGGGGGAATTGCCAAAAAGCCGCACATGTCCGGGAAAAATGCAGGCCGGGCACTTCCCCTCCCGCGGCTGCTCAGCTCCTCCCCTGACTCTTCGGCTCTGTTAAGAGCTGAGCCGCCCGAGCGCTATGGGCTTCAAGCAGCCCCCTTGCCTCCGGACCCCAGCTGCCGGCCGGGCACTTCCCCTCCCGGGCTCCGGCGGTGCAGGGTCCGGAGGCATGGGGGCTGCCCAGAGGCATGGGGGCTGCCCGAAGCCCTTAGCGCTCGGGCAGCTCGGCTCTTAAATAGAGCCGAAGAGTCAGGGGAGGAGCAGAGCCTCCAGCCGCGGCGGCT